CAGCATGGCAGGCTCTCCTCTCCCATTCTGCACTGGGCCCGGCGCACTGTCAACGATCTGTGGCACGCCCTGCTGCGGGAACTCTCCAAGAAGCAAAAAGCCCCTCTGACGCACCTGGCGGCCAACCAAGGCATCCCGCCGCTCGTCGCGTCCGAGGCGTCAGGCGACCCCAGCAGCGACAACATTCTCAGGTCGCCGAGCGGGCTGCGGATGCTGTACGGCGACTTTGGCCCCGCGACGTCGCCCAGCGGCCTGCCCTCGCACGACGACTTTGCGCGGGCGTTCTGGGTTTCGACCAAGCAGAACGGCATCTGGCAGACGTGGGCCCCACGCTGGACCATGTTCAGCAGGGGCAACGTCAAGGAAAAGGCCCGCCTCCTCGCCTTTCACGACGAGACCGCCACGGCGGCTTTTCCCCACCGCGCCTCCGTCTCGCTTCCTTCGGGCACGGGCTCGACGGCAGCGGCGCCGTGGGCCGTCGACATGTACGCGGGCATCGGCTACTTTACCTTTTCGTACGCCCGGCTCGGCATGCGCGTCCTCTGCTGGGAGCTCAACCCCTGGAGCGTCGAGGCGCTGCGGCGCGGCGCCGTGGCCAACGGCTGGGGCGACGTGCACGTGGCGCGCGGCCACGACCTGCTGCGACCGACGCAGGAGCTCGTGCCGGCGGGGGCGAGGATCGTCGTGTTCCTCGAGGACAACGGCGAGGCGGCGCGGCGGATCGCGGCGTGGCGGTCGAGAGACGCCCTCGACGTGCTGCACATCAACTGCGGGCTGCTGCCGACGAGCGAGGCGACGTGGCGGCCGTGCTGGGAGATTGTGGCACGGGGCGCGGCGCCGGCGAGCTGGCTGCACCTGCACGACAATGTCGCCACGGGGGATATTGAGGCACGGCGCGCCGACATACAGAGCCGGTTCGACGGCTGGGTGCGGGACGAGGGGGGCGCCGAGGGCGAGGGCGTCACGGCGCGCGAGGCGCGGGTCGAGCACGTGGAGCTCGTCAAGACGTACGCGCCCGACGTGTGGCACTGCGTCTTTGATGTGTGTATTCTTACAAAACGTACATGACTGGTACACTTGGTCGTCATTCGTCCTCTCTGTTCCTGCCGTCATTCGTCTTCTCTGTTCCTGCCGTCGTCCGTCTTCTCTGTGCCTGCCGTCATTCGTCCTCTCTGTTCCTGCTGTCGTCCGTCTTCTCTGTGCCTGCCGTCACGGCTACCTCCGAAACTTGGAGGGAATGTTGGCCTCGACAATGGCCATCTTGTTGAGCCTCTCTATCCTCTCGGCCTCGTCCTCCATGTCGTCGTGCTTCTTAAAGTGCTCAATGTCTTCGGGGTGGGTGAGGTCCTCGAGCTTTGTGTTTTCGTCGTGGTATCTACGGGGGTCAGCAAGGCAAGAAAGATCAAGCGAGGAGCCAAAGGCGAAAGACAATTCATCCAACTGGAAAAAAGGGAAAAGGAGGAAAAGAAGAAAAGAGGGGAAAAAAAAAAAACATACTTTCTCCCAGTGGTGAATCTCATACTCGTACTCGGCGTCGCCGTGGTGGCCGGGCCCCGTGCCGAGGTCGGGCAGCGTCTTGCCGGCGTCGATGAAGGCGTCCCACTCGGCCCTCGTGACGGTGCCGTCGGCGTCGGCGTTCGAGCAGGGCGAGCAGCTGGCGGGTGACGTCGTCGCGCTTGGCCGGGGCGAGGCGGCTGTTGGACTCGTCCATGAGGCCGTAGGTGCGCTCATCTCGTCGACGTGCCAGAGGCCGTTGCCTTTGTAATCCTGCAAGGCCAAGAAAGAAGGCGGCGTCCCAGGCGTTCATGTGGTGCTCCTTGGGCCCATGTGGGGCGTCATCCAATCGGGCGTCGGCGGCGGCCGAAGGGGCCCTGGCGCGCGTGGTTCGCCGTGGGCGAGGGCCGTGCCGGCGAGGGCCGTGGCTGCGGCGGCGGCGGCGGCGGCGAGGCGGAGGTGGTGCTGCATCGTGGGCGGAGATTGCAGAGATGGCAGAGATGGCAGAGATGAGGAGGGGCGCGGACAGAAGAGATGAGGAGGGGCGCGGACAGAAGAGGGGAGGGAGAGACACGGCAGAAAACAGAAGGAAAACGTGGCAGGGCTGAGGAAAGGGTATCTTGGCGCAGGGGATTCGGGAGACACGATGGTTGGCGTTGTTTGGAGCTCGGACGGAATGTGCTGCGAGGCATCGCGAATGCAGGATACGCACTTCCCATTTCAGGGGCGCGTTGGCGTGCAGTAGGGGGCGTCAGGGGCATTGGTGCTGCCGCTGGGCTGTGCGTCGGCATTGGTAGGCGCCGACGTCCGTGATTGTGCTGGCATTGGCCTGCCTGACCTGCCTGACATGCCTGACCTGCCTGACCTGACCATTGGGTCTGGCGTTGACCTGGCCATTGGTCCACCCATGGCTTGATTGACCACTCCTATCAGGGCATCGAGTTCGCTGACTGCCCAATGTCGGGGGGGGCACTGATGCCGATTTCTGTTCTCGATTGCTGCAGACAGTTGACCTGACCTGACCATGGGGTCCGCTTTGGCTGACCTTGCGCCAATCGTCGGCTTACCTTCAGTACTGTCCATCGAAACCTCAGAATGGAATTAGTATTGTTGTGGGTAGCAGAGCAAAAAAAAAACCCCCAAAAAAAATTGAAAAAGAGAATGACGAAACAATCAAGCCAATTTGAGCTCTGGGCAATGATCAGATCATGCCAGTCCAGGCCGGGCCACATGGTCTGCAGCTACGGGACGCACGATGCTAAGAGCGCTGGAGAGCGCTGGAGAGCACTGGAGAGCACTGGAGAGCGCGGGACAGCTACCCCACGTCAGGTCAGGTCCACTGCTGGCCCAATGGTCAGGTCAACTCCAGACCCAATGGTCGGGTCAGGTCAGGGCAGGCATGTCAGGCAGGTCAGGCAGGTCAGGCAGGTCAATGGTCACCCAGCACAAACCCAACGGAGCTCACCTCTCTGCAGAGGAGTGCCGGGTCCATCATGTCAAGTCAGGCCAGCGGGTCCATGATCAGGTCACAAGCTACCTACCTGGGTAGGGTAAGGTATCTTGCCCAAGGCGCCTGTGGTCGAAGCTTGTCGTAGCGGTCAGTACCTCGTACCTACCTCGCGCCGAGCTAGGTACCTAGGCACGCAGCCGTGCACTGTCTAGTACTTCGATGCCTGTGTACCTTTGAAGGTAGAGTCCCTGCCATGCACCATGCACCAAGCTCCAAGCTCCAAGCTGCAAGATCCAAGTTCCCTAGCAACCTCAACCTCGACAACCTCGACAAAACACCACAACCACCACAACCACCACAACCACCACAACCACCACAACCACAAGCCCGCCATCAGCACACAAGCCCCGCCATCAGCACACAATGAGCCGCTCCATAGAGCAGGCGCTGCTCCAGCTCATGCCGACCCACGCCACCGACCTGCCGCCCCCCCTCGTCGAACTCGCCAGCGCCCTCCTCGCCCAGTCCCGCCACAGAGCCAGCACCCTCAAGGCCGAGGAGGAGGTCGCCCGCCTCCACGCCTGCTGCCACATCGCCTGCGACCGCCTCAAGATCCCCCTCGACCTGCCGCCCATCCAGTCGCGCCCGCCCATCCCGCCGCGCATCTACCAGCGCCTCTACGCCCACCTCGACAACATCCTGCCGCACAACCTCACGGCCCGCACGCCAGCCAAGAACAGGCACGCCACACCGCGCCCACGCCACGCCGGCGCCGACACGACGACGACGACGACGACGACGGCCTCGGGTCGCCCGCTGCCGTCGAGGACGACGCCCAGCAAAGAGACGACCCTCGCGCCCTTTCCGCGCCGCCGCCACCCTACCAAATCCACAGGCAGGGCCGTCCTCCCCTCGACACGGCGGCCCTGCACCCGTGGATCCGCCCGACGATCCGCTTCATCTGCCGCGCCTCGGGCCACCCCCGCCTCGCGCCGACGCTGCTCGCCGGCATGGAGCGCGCCGTCGCGCCGGGCGGCCGCCGCACGCGCGACCCCTGGGTCCTCGCCAACCTGACGGGCCTCGTCGCCGCCTTTTACTTCTTCGTCGTCCAGCAGCTGCGCGTGCTGCGCACCGGCGAGCCCATCACCGAGGCGAACTACCTGCCCGTGCGCGCCGAGGTCCTGGCCCTGCTGACGCGGGCGCGGCAGGAGCTCGTCGTCGGCGGCGGCCGGGGCCTCGACGACGACGACGACGACGACGACGACGCCTGGGCCGGCTGGCAGGCGCTGCGGCGGCGCGACTTTATCGCCGTCACAGACGAGGTCACGCGCCGGGCGTTTTTACAGGAGGATTGGTACGTCGGCATCCGCGACCTCTATGCCAGCGGCGCCTTCGACGAGGCGCACGCAGACGACGCCGACACGCACGAGGCCGGCGGCGAGGAAGACGCCGCGCGGCTCACGAAGCTGACGATACGCCGCGCCGACACCATGTTCCAGGACAGGTACGAGTACCTCAGCGAGGGCAGACGCCTCGACTACAGCCTGTGGAAGGAGGGCGTCCTGCAACGGATCGAGCGGGCGGAGGGCACGGCACAGGATGGCATGGACGTGGACTGATGACGATAAACAAAGACTAAAAAAAGATTATAAAATAAAGACGTTAAAATGAAGACTCTAAATAAAGACTCTACAACAAAGACTTTAAAACAAAGACTTTACAATAAAGACTTTAAAATAAAGGCTTCAAAAAAAAAGATTACAACAGGACAAAATCACCCAATGCGACCCGGCACGTAGGGGTGGCCCGCACTGAGCCCGCCGTCGACGGCCCACGCCTGGCCGTTGACGTAGCTGCTCTCGTCGCTGCCGAGGAAGAGCGCGACGCGGGCAATCTCGTCGGCGTGGCCGCCGCGCTTGAGCGGGTTCAGCTGGCCGATGCGCTTCTCGGTGCCCCGCGCGCGGGCCGCCTCGTACACGTCGGCCGTCATGCCCGTCTCGATGAGGCCCGGGCAGATGGCGTTGACGCGGACGCCGGTGCCGGCGAGCTGGTAGGCCGTCGTCTGCGCCAGCGAGATGACGGCGGCCTTGGCGGCCGAGTAGGGCGTCGTGCCGGCGTTGGAGCGGATGCCGGCGACCGAGGCCGTGCCGATGATGGAGCCGCCGGCCGTGGGTTTGGCCGACGACGTCAGCTGCATCGCCGGCGCGGCGTGCTTGGCGGCGAGGAAGACGCTGGACCCGTTAGCGTGTGAGCCCGCAGAGAGTGACCCTCAGAAAGAGTTAGCGAGTCCCTCGTAGAGAGCAAATCTCGACGACGTGAAACATTACCTCAGCACGTTGGTGAGCATGTTCCGCATAAAGTCCGTCTCGGTGACGTCGGTGAACAGGGCCATGGGCCCGACGATGCCGGCGTTGGCGAAGAAGACGTCGAGGCGGCCGTAGGTCGCGACGGCGTGCGCGACGACGTCCCGGACGGCCTGCTCCTCGGCGGCGTCGAAGCGGCGCACGTGGACCTCGACGGCCGGGTGGGCGGCGTGGATCTCGGCGGCGTGGGCGTCGAGGTG